CATGATCGATTGAAGCACATCGCTTGTGCCGCTTCATCGCATATACAATAAACCAGGCATTCGACGTCTGATATCTTTGGAGCATTTTTATGGCGATGAGGTGCTGCCAAATTAGCCGTGTGAAACTGCCAACCCAGCAGCCATTTGTACTACTTTAAAATCGCCGAGAGATGGCAGTAGCGGTGCTTGAAGTGTTCAATGAGCCAAATAATGTTACACCCGTGTTTTGGCCCCTACTCGTGGTGGTCTTGCATATTTATCCGTACTTTTAAGATAATTAATTGATCCTTTTTCTGAGCTGATATGATTCAGCCGTATGTCCAGCACTGCCCTCCAGGTTTCGGCGACATTAGTACTACAATAAAACTCCTGTCAACACAAGTGTTACGTTAGTTCTAGACAAAACTTACGACATTAGCGCTACGCGACAACAATTATGTTGCAATTTTTTAAAATCATCATTGCTTGTAATTCAGAACTGGTTCAGTCATTATTTATGCCCGCCATTACTTTTGCTGCGAAGACTTTATGCGGCATCAGTGCTGCACGGGAAAGTTTATGCTTCAAAAACTTATACCCGTCATTACCTCACAGTAAAACGTATACAGCCATTGGATGTACACGGCATTAATCCACTGCAAAGACTTACACGTGAATAAGCGCTACACCACAAAACCTGCGCTTCAAAAGCGATAATTGTCATGACTCTATTGCAAAAACTTACCTAATATTGGCGCATGCGCAGCATTACTTCTTCTGCTAATGTTTGCCGTGGAACGCAAAGCGCATGGAATTCTTACAGTGGTGTAGGAGAAACCACAGGCTAGGAGGGAACCCCAACTGGGCATCATTGCAATCAAATGTTCCAAGCGCTGATACCAAAAGTTATTCATTCATTGTGCTGCAGAATTTTGTCGATACGTAGTGTTTGGTGTATAAGCAAAGCCTGTATTTTGGGTAGCGAAATCTCAGTGCTGGGTTTAACTCTTGAAGTAGAAGTAATGTCGCGTTGTAGTGAACATCAAGCCAGGAGTGTGATTTCGTATCCGGTCGGGGACCCCATTCACCCCTCATGTGATAGAAAGGTGTCTCACATTCGTGGTAAACGCCGTGTTTTATGTACTTTGGGGCAAGCTTGGCCGTTTTCCCTGCTTCGCGCCCAAACTTGTTTCGCAACACTACGACAGCACACCGAACGTTTTTCAGTAGACATAATATTGCGTATAACTACTGTCGTTGTGGGCGTGTCGATCCCAATTTTTACAACAGCAACAATGTATCAACACCATGGAGTTGGCACCTGCAGTCTAATTTCACCCCACAAAGTACTCCTATTCCTCTGTTCCCTCCAGGATTTGTATGAGGCTTAAGGGAAATGCTCTTCGTTTGGAGATGTTAAAGTAAGCATCAGGTATGATGGGATAGGCTCACTTATAATTAAGGGTATACTTTTAAGGTGGCAGGGGCTGCTCTAGACAACACAACTTTTCTGCGTAGTAAATATTCCCCTTATTACGTCATTATTTGATTACGTCATCACACCTTTAAAAAACATTGATTGAGAGACAACTGGCGGCCGCCTTATCTGAAAATCGTGCTCACGAACGTCATATATAAAAGACTCAACAATTATCTTCGTATTGGTCTTGATCGCCGCATGGCCTTTGGCGTGGCAATATTTAAATGTTTTATGGCGTCATGGTGGCTGGGTGACCTTGAAATAGTCTCCCCGAAATAGCCTGCATATTTTTGCGGACGTAGAGTTCAGAAAGTAGAGCGGTTTAGGGCTTTAGAAGCATAGGGCTGTGAACTGCACCGAATGATCTTCAGCATGGCTCTTTCACGCAAATGCGGGGCACTCTGTTAAACCTATTGACTGGAGCATGTACTGACGGTTGTAATTTGCGGATTGTGACCCGTATCGTATTGCAAGAAATGACACAGATAAGTATTGGCCGAAGAAGAAAAAAATTGCTGGCAAGTAAAGGCTATATAGGCTCTTGCAGCAGACATAATGATGGACATGAGCTTTTTACAAACAAGCGCTCATATTCTTTTAAGTTAGGTTGTGCAACTAATTTGACCTATAACTCGTTGTAATTAAGGTAGTGTCACGTATGAGTGAAGAATGAATAGGTATTTGCCGTATAATTTGTTTTTAAAAATGTAAGCCGTTGCTGTAGAAGTAAAACGGGTATACGTTTCTGCATTGTAAGTTTTGGTGTGCGTAAGCTTTTGCAGTGAAAGCAATGCCGCGAATAAGTTAACTTTGAACAAGTTTTTGTAGCACACACAATGTCGCGTATAACTGATGTATCACTCCTGTCGTAAGAGTTCAGCCGCTGCGCCGCGCTCCAGCAAACTGGACGGCTTAGAGGTGTAGAATTTACAACGACGAGACCGGGATGGGTGTTTAGAGGGTGGGAATTACAAAAATCCAGTCTGCCCCTGGGCGATGGGGAACGGATCAAGCCCGCCGCGAGGTAGCCGGGGAAAAGGATGACGTCGATTTGAGTTACCTTACACGTATCGCTTCTTATTAGGAAGAAAGGGGTGGGGAATATCATGATTGCTGAATGTGAGCCTTTAAGCTATAACGTGTGTCCCTGTAGCGCAGTGGATAGCGCGTTGGACTTCTAATCCAAAGGTCCCGGGTTCGAATCCCGGCAGGGATGGGTTTTGACAAGCAGCATACTTGAATTGTCTGTGGTTCGAAGTATGCACATGTAACAGATCAATACACGCGCACACAGCGCTACCAGTGGCGTGGTCCGGGAGCCTGGGCAATAATCGTGGTGCAACCATGTGCACAGACGCCGTGACGTTGTTCGTAAAATGAGTGGTGTCGCCACAGGCCAGTTTCGAAGTTTGCTTAGGAATGTCTTGGGCCGTTCAAAGCTGCTTTACCGGAAAATGGTTAAAAATTAAACTACCTGGAAAATAGCCCCTATTCAGCTTCGAACACACCGATGATTTAGGCGAGTCAACGCAGCGGTGTGATGCTGCCGTTCCATCACCGTCAATACCACCCATATACCGATGCACTGCGATGATTTCACTGCCTCACCGACTACGTCCCTAAAAGTGCTGGAATTGCTAAGGATAGTCCGCTACGTTAGTCCTCACTCCAGCAAACAGGGGCCGCGAACCATGGTCGATTCAAGCACACCGCTTGTCAGAACCCCATTCCTGCCGGGATGGGAACCCGGAACGCTTTGCCTTCATGGCTTGATCACATATGCAATAAATCTGGCAACCGACAGTTGATACCTTTGAAGTGGAGCTACGGCACCCCTTTCCTTTCCATTTTGACGACACGTCTAATCCCGGCGGTAAGGTACGATGGGGAGACCTGGGACATTTACGAGGCACTTGTGAAGCGCCATGTATGAAGTTCTGCAGCAAGCACATTATGAGAGACGGAAAGGTATACATACGTGCGGAGGCGTAGTTTCGCGAAACAAGATAGGGTTGAGCAATAAGAAATGGCTGAACCTACCATGGCAATACAGAAAAGCGCGTTTCCTCCCGGATTAGGCACAAGTTATTATCAAATTTAGGCGGGAAGGCTCCAGCCGCCCCATTCCCTAGCCCAATAGGATAAAATATTGGAGTTATTATTGTGTAGGTATTTAACTTTGTAAAAACTCACTGCTTTCACTGCCCGTGAAGATTCAAATTGCATAGCTTTATAACTACTGCATGCTAAGGCAGCAACTTGTCAGCGACGCGCATGGAAGCAGTAAAAATGCGCGCATGCTATGGAATCCGAATGCCAGCACAGAACAGAACTGCTGGCAATGTCTGCAGACAATCGATACTGCGCTCTCAAGTCCCGGAACAGGGCCTTAAAGCTAAGTAGGGTGTTCAGTTGATATTTTCTGCGAGAAAAACTGAAAACACATTTCAGCAGCAAACATTAATCACGGCGGCCCATGCCACATGCAGGTAAGTCTCCTCGTCTTACTCAACCTAGTGGCAGACGGACGAGGCACGTGTCCACATCAGTCCGCCTCTTCCCGCCTGACCCTCTTACTGAGCAGACGAAAACTGGTCGACCATTTGGGTCTAACCGCTTACCGGGTTGTTTGAGCCGTTGGATATTTGCGCATATGTGCGCCGGTTCACATATCCTGTTCGGAAACTGATTCCAAGTTCAGCTGACCGGCCAGGCATAGCGTGCAGGATATGATGCATCTGTTTGCAGGTCTCACATCTACTGTCATTTTGCGTTATAGGATTCTGGATGGCGAACCCAACCTAAGGAACACCAAAATTACTTATATGGTCATGGTTTCATGCAGCGCAACCGCTTCGGTTATTCCCGCCCGCCATATCTTAGTCTATGGTACCACTTTGATTTAAATGCCTTAACTTCAAAACCACATGACTTTTGGAATTACTCTCAATCTCCGACGGTGGTCCCCGCAAAGATGTAGCGGGACGTCTAAAGCATCCAACATATCCCCATACTATTTGTCATAGCCATAATCACTATGTACAAAACTACGACAGGTCTGTATCACTGCCCAAAATGCGTTGTCACTGGCGCAGTCGGCGGCCAACAGCCCCGGTCACACAGCAAGCATTCTCCCTGATCACGCATGACTGCACAAAACACGGCACATCGGCCGACCGCCCAGATCGGCAACGGCACGGTAACGCGGGGCAAATGTACGTGCGTCTGATCGCCTGGCAAAACAGAGCCGCCACGCAGAACGTTACTCTCATTTCACCTCTCCCACCGCAATCTTTCTCATCATGCCACCGAACGTTCCACTCTGAACATCTGGCCCACCGAGGGACTGGCACACCCCTCTCCGGCCGGGGTGCCCAGTAGGTGTGCTGGCGCACCTCTTAGCACAGTGTTGGCGCCACTGTAGCCTTACGAGGCGGTACGAGTTTATGTGCAGCGCGGACCACCCAGTTCTGAAGATTCGAAACTCGAAAGTCCTTCGCTCGCGAAATGGGGCATGCTACAGAGGTTTTAACGACAGTGCCCTGTTATGCCCTGGAGAGCGTGTATTTCACATCTCACACTCCACGGACGAGGAAACGTCAAGTTTCAATTGCACTTGCATTTCAATATATTTCGTCAATATTGTTACATCTGATGGCGCAGAAGACGAGACTGGAACGTATTTCCTCCTACAGGCATTGACACAGCTGCAGCACCCACATGTAACATGAAACGACCTGCTGGCATGTAAATGTAAACACTAAACACCAGAGATAATAAATCGCATGCTGAACTGATTGTTGGCGCGAACACGGCAGTCATTTCAAAAGAATGAATACTTGTGGTCTGCATGGCAGGTCACATAGCATTTTCAAGCACAAGACCAGCGTAATAAAACTGGAGATAAAAGCAACAATAAACAAAATACTAGGATGTCAAAAATATTCAAACTTGGCTAGTAAAAGTTTGGTCAAGTTGAGAAACAATTCAGGAAAATACAAACTATTTGCTTTGAAGCAAAGATTGCTTTCACTCCATACAATGCTCACACTTCCTTTGAACCATTACAATGCAATGGGTACATGATGAAAATAAAAACTCCAGCCAGAGTTGCAATTTGTACATAAGATGCCATCCAGCTCTACAGATGCTCTCAAATCTAGTCTACTCAGCCCACTATTACAGCTCCATTTCACAGCAATAATGCAGACATCTACTCACCTTAATGAAGATAGCCTGAGTAATGTTGTAAATTAGCAGCATGTCTGACAGCTAAGACATTGTATCACATCACACTTCTATAGAGTCACTGTTCTGAGAAGAGTCAGTCATGAACACATTGCTCCCAATGGTTGCCACAGGGACAGTATTGATGAACATGGGCCCTTGAAACACTGGATGTTGCATGTGAATGACATGATGAACTGGTGGCAATGTAGCCGCCTGATGGGGTGAGTCTATTCTCATGGGCTGGTACACTGGCTGCTGCTGCAGGTTCTGTGCAGCTTCTGGTGCTGCTGGTGGCTGCAGCACAGGTTGCAGCTCATGTATTTTGATGTTTTCTTGGTTTGGTATGTGAGGCCTCACCTTCTTCCCTCCAGGTCTGTGAGGATTTCTGCAGCCTCTGCACTTGCAGTCCATGCAAGCCCTGGACTCAACATAACAGGGGCATCTTTGGCCACAACAGGTGAGTTTTCCAGGTGTTGGTGTTGCATTTCCACATCTGCAACCTTTCTGAAGCTTTTTTCTTCCCCCGCTCCTTGATGCTGTGATACTGCCATTCTGCATCACCCTGCTGTTGGTATACTCTGGCCCAACCTGGCCAAATGAAGTAACTGCTGGATACTTGTGGTAGTTGGCTGCTTCCACTGGTGTCACTTTCATCTTTGCAGCTTTGTCACCATCACTTGAAAAGAACATTGAATATAGTGGATGATGGGCAGGAGCAGATGATGATGGTGGGGGTGGTTGAGATAGTGGTGAGGACATGTGGGACATGGCAGGCTGCTGGGAAAAGTGAACTTCAGGACTAGGGTGAGATGGCTGTGAATAGACTCCTGATGTAGACACTGGAATGATCTGTTGAGAAGTGATGACAGGTGGGTTCACTGGGCTTGATATATGAATATTGGCATGGTACATGACACCCTCATTGGAGGAATGCTCTGAATCAACCATCTCACTTTTCACAACAGGAACATCTTCAAAACTGTCTTCATCCTCCTTCACAGTCCACTCACTGGGCCCTTGACAGTTAGCTCCCTCCTGTATCAGTTCAACCAGACTGGACTTGCTCCCATTCAGTGAAAAAGAGTTCAGCTTCTGATAGATTTCAGTTTGTTGCAAATACTGACAAGTCTTGCGGAATGCTTCAACAATCAACTGAAGCTGTTGGTTTGAGATGTATGCAGAATAATCTTTGCAGTAACTGCAAGATGGTTTCAGCCTCTTCTTGCCACCATTGCAGGAAAAACAAACACTGTGCTGGCACTGACTATCAGATGGGCTTATGGGGTTTTCTATAATACACCCACAAACTGTGCACGCTAACGCCTGGCGCAGCTGCGGCAATAGCTTGTACAGATCTCCCCAGCTTGTGCTTTCTTCCACGGACGCCTCCACAACCAGCTTGCACAATTTCAGGTGCAGAGATAATGCATGACTAGAGGACATCATGCACTTTTTCGTTCACACTAGTCCACGACTCTACGGGTGCACATTGCCAACGTCGCCATGCCACAATCGCTCGCACGCCGCCCTGTCCAAATTTGCGTTCACGAACACTAACGTGCGCCACATTCAGAAGTTTGGTAGCAAAGGTAATGCAGCCACATTTATCTAAAAACGCAGGAAAACTGTGGACTGTTAAGTTTGCTTTCATTAGGCTTTCCGGCCGCCCGATGTCTGGTTGCCCACGCGGATTGTGCGATGCCCACGCGGGGCGGCTTCGAACGGGTGAGTGCGGTCGGAAGGGTGCCGCGCAGCGTCGCCGACGTCAGGTTCACATTCCCTGCCAGGGTCCTGCCAATTGCCAGGTCCGTAAAACATGACGTGTCACACACAGGATCTGGTTGGGATAGGGATGGAGCAAAACAACTTGAGGCAGGCATCTGTTGCAATGGGTAGCCTTAATACCATGGGACGTTGGAAGCTGGATCGATGAGCTTGGGGCGGCTTGATGCTTCTGGTGACTGAATAATGAGAGCTCTGAGTAGCGTTTGTCCCTCTGGTGGAGGGTGTAGGCTACCTCAAAAATGTCAAAAGTCCTTGCCTTGGATTGCAGCTTTTTACATCACTGGAGTAAGTCTTCCGCAAAGTCCTTACAGACAGCACAACGATTTGATCGCTGGTATTTATATTTTCCTTGCACCTGGCTTGACTTAAAATTTGCTTGTGAGGAGCTCTACCCACATATGTGATGCATGTCAACATTGAAAGTGCATTTGTCCATTGTTTGTTGGTTCTCTTATTCATGATTGCTCTGGATGAATGCTCCATTTTGTGTTTTCAGCACTCTGTGTTTTGTCTGACTGCCTGATGGACAGCTGAGTGTATTATGGGAACAGAATCTTAGAAATATTTCCCATTGATCACAAACATGTTAATGTGTAAAACTAGGCCATTGGGAGGTTTGTCACCCCCAGTGCCAGCTCAGCACTTGGGGACCCTGATCATGAACTGATCTGTAAATTGTGGCTGAGGTAATGCTAGGTATTTTGCATATTGCTAAATTGTCATTACTTGTATGCAATTATCAAATGAGCACTTCCGAAGCTGCCTGGTAGTAGAGTCTGTCATCCAAGTCTGACAATTGAGACCATGCCTTGAGGCTGCATATAATTTTGTGTTTTTCTAAGCTATAGCCTAATACATTTATAACCATTTTGCATGTTTTGCACTGTGTGGGCAGGATAATCTGTTGTGTGCATCTGGAATTTAATAATGTTTTGACCTTGGGTTTTGCAGGTAAATAATCAAGAAAAGCCTTTTTGGCAATATGCCATCCTCCACAGGAGAAATTACCCAAAAGACAGAATGCTTACCAGCTATTGTGAAGAGAGCAAGAAATGGCAGGAAAAACTTGCCATCATGGAAAACAAGGTAGGATACCTGACATATCAAGTACCAAGTATCTAGTCATCCTGGGTGTTGGTGGCACATACATGCTGAGCATGTCTGGGAGTTATGATTGGCTGGAAATTACCACCAGATCAAAATGCCTGGGGTTATATATATATATATATATATATATATATATATATATATATATTGTGTATGTATGTATGTGTGTACCAGATAAGCTAATTTAGTGTGGTGGCCCTTTCATTTCTAGGCAGCTGAAAGAACATGGTGTTGGTGCATTCCTTCAACAGCTGCTAGGTGTGGGAGGTACTTCTGAAGAGCAGAGTCCATCTACTCCACTCAGCTTGACCAGCAGTAATAAGCCAGCTCCAAACAAGGACCAAGTTCATGGGAAACCATCAGCCAGTGGAGAAGGGTAATATAAGCTAAAAGAAAAACCTTACTTTGTTCCCCAGTTTTGACTTTGACTTTGACTTGACTTCTCTTAAAATCTAAAATAACTTTAATGCTAACAGGAAAATGTCAACTTCGCAGCTGTTAAGTGAAGCATTTGTTCCAGCATAAGTGCCCATTGGTATTTCCCACAAATGATCTCAAGCATCCACTTATTTCAGAGATGGCCCTGAGGCTGTCAATGTGCCCTACCCCCAAACGCTGGTGCCGGTGGCATCCCTGCCAGATCACCCCAGCGAGGGGCGCAGGGGCGGCGTCCGGAAGCGGAAGGCGTCGTCGATCAGCATACCGGCCGAGATCCGGCAGTCACCTGAGCTTCGCAAGTACTGGCACCGGCGCTACCGGCTCTTCTCCAGGTCAGCCGCTGGCCGGATGGGGGCGCATTGGGAGAGGCAGTGGTCACACAGCCTCCTTGGGTTCCAGGCGTGGCTGGTCTGTGGTGAATCAGCACTGCGGTCAACACCTGGATGGCGGATGGGTGCAGGTTTACTGTAACAGTGGGCGTGGAGCATTTCTTACTTGAGCATTCCGAGATTAAGTTCAACCACCAGTATTCATCCATATTGCAACCAAAAATGTGTTGTGATTTGATGAGCACTTGATTGATTGCTTTCATACTGATCTGCCTGATGTACGTGGCTGTGCATCCAAGCATGGAGAGTGACGTCTATGCCGTATCAGCCCGTACTTTGGCGTTGACATGTAAGGGCCTTACCAGTGGGTTCGCGCGTGTCGCACCTGACCCGCGCCCCGGCCTTGACCCAGGTTTGACGAGGGTGTGCAGCTGGACCGGGACGGCTGGTTCTCGGTGACGCCCGAGCACATCGCGCGCCACCTGGCCGACCGCTGCCGCGCCGACGTCATCGTGGACGCCTTCTGCGGCGTTGGCGGCAACGCCATTCAGTTCGCGGCCACTTGCCGTCTGGGTGAGGAGGAGCGATACAAGGCGCCCGGGGAGACCTGATATGGGTAGATGGGTCAGATGGCTGTGAGGGGCCCTCTGCAGGAACGCGCGCACCAACTGACGAGGGGCATGCTCATCAGCACCCACCAGCGCTGCGTGCGGAGTGCGGGTGCACCCGTGTTTGACAGCTTATGTCTTGCCTTACGGCGGTGGTCGGAATGGCTGCTACGTGACCTAGGATATTATAAAGTCGCGCTATCTATGTTATAGAGTCGTGCTGTCCTAATTCCTCAGTGCGTTGTCCCCTGGCATGGCCCACACATTGGATCCGTATTCGCTTGCATAGTGACCTGGGTGTGAGTATAGCATCTTTGTTTCTCTCTGCGCATTCCCTTGCTTTTCCCTATACTTGTGATGCCTGTGTACGACGAACCGGACTCGCTATCCCCACATTTTCTCTCCGTCCCTGCACCAGCCGATCATCAGGCGATGTGCGCGCCTGTCCTAAGCCACCACCTAGCCCCACACGTTCGATTGCCGGTCGGCAGTCATCGCCGGCAGCTGGCGCCGCCAGAGGTCGGCCGGGTCCTGACGCGGCGTCTCCCCTGCACCAGTGATCGCCGTCGACATCTGCCCGGAGCGGGTGCGCTTGGCGCGCCACAACGCCGCCGTCTACGGCGTCCAGCACAACATCCAGTTCGTGGTGGGCGACTTCTTTCGGCTGGCGCCGCGGCTGCACGCGGACGCCGTCTTCCTCTCGCCGCCCTGGGGCGGTAAGGGCCGAACCGTCCCCGCTCTGAGCGGCCTCGCGGGAAACGTTTGTGGTTTTTCAGTCTTGCGTCAGAGTCATGAATGGCAGGTGTCGCGTGGTTGCCCCCTTGGTTTTCTGTCATGCAGCACGACAACGGAAATGTGTCGTTACAATATGTTCCGTCCTTCTCTCACCCTCCCCGCCCCGCCGCAGGGCCGGGGTTCAGGGGCGCCGCGGCGTACATGTTCCGTCCCTCCCTGACCCTCCCCTCCCCGCCGCATGGCCGGAGTACAGCGGCGCCGCGGTGTACGTGTTCTGTCCGTCCCTGACCCTGTCCTCCCCGCCGCAGAGCCGGAGTACAGCGGCGCCCCAGTGTATGACGTGTTCCTCCCTCCCTAACCCTGCCCTCCCCGCCGCAGGGCCGGAGTACAGCGGCGCCGCGGTGTATGACATGTTCCGTCTGGACGGCTCCATGGACGGTCGCCGTATGATGCGGGCCGCCCGCCGTATCTCGCCGAACGTGGCTCTACTGGCACCGCGCACTGCCAACCTCGACCAGGTGCGGACCGAGCCGCCGAGGGGCCGCACTCGGATCATGCGCGTGCTCTGGAGGCGCTTCTTGTGTAGGAGGCACACGATATACGGAACCACCGGCTCGTCGGTCAGCATGGTGTGCGTGTAAATTTGAAGTTTGCGTGATGTTCTTTAAGAATGTGTTCTATGATTAATTTCGTAACGCCCCGATATCGACTGCTGGCCACTCGGGATGTGCGCTGGCGATCCTCCGCTCGCAATGCTACTGACAGTTGTATGTGTCTGGGACCCAATTTCTAGTCGATTTGCCCCGTTGCATGCCCGTGGCCCAATACCCAGCATAGCCAACACCATGCAGCTGCACGCCCCATTCGATCTGACTCCTCCCTGACGCTCCGTCCGTTATGTGGTCAGTTAGCGGCGCTGGCCGGCCCCGGCGGACGGGTGGAGGTGGAGCAGAACCTTCTGAACGGCCGCGCCAAGACCATCACGGCGTACTACGGCGGTCTGGTCCGGCCCGCGCCCGCCTCCTGAGTCGGGGCCAATCCCCCCGGCCCGCGCCCGCCACCTGAGTCGGGGCCAGTCCCCCCGGCCCGCGCCCGCCTCCTGAGTCGGGGCCAGTCCCCCCGGCCCGCGCCCGCCTCCTGAGTCGGGGCCAGTCCCCCCGGCCCGCGCCCGCCTCCTGAGTCGGGGCCAATCCCCCCGGCCCGCGCCCGCCACCTGAGTCGGGGCCAGTCCCCCCGGCCCGCGCGGACGTTCATCGTGGTGTCGCTTGGCTCCGGTGGTGATTTTTTATTCATTTGCCACCGAAGAGTTTCGCTGCGTGTGTTAAGTGTGCGTATGAAGGGCGGGTGGCTGAGCTTTCGCCGAGCTAGCTGGGAGCTGCGTTTGTGGGCTGAAATCAGGCGGCGTGTCGGCCGTTTCAGAGCGGATTGCGCATCGTGGCGGACGTGCAGCGGGTTTTGACGCGCTCAACCACGGCATTTGACGTGTTCGCTTAATGATAATTGTCGGCCTGACAACCGGATGACAGCGACGGCAGTGGTGGACAACGTTTTTGGACCAATCGAAAACCGCAACTGTCTTTTTATAGCCATCCCATAAGCAACGTTACGCGTGCCAGCAATGCGTGAGTTAGCCTCGGTCCTCGTCGACACACGTGTGGTGGGCGACTCTGGGCGCCCAGATCTGACGCTCGCTGAGCGCCGGTTGCCTCAGAAGTCCAAGGTCCGATTTCACGTCTGTCTGCAGCACTGGAGCTCCCTCGGTGGGCGGAGGATCGAGCGGGTCCCGGCCCACTGCCGCCGCGTGGAGCTATCCGGGACAGGCTTTGCCCATTGATGCACAGCTCGTTGATGCAGCATGCCAAGGCAATATGTCCATTGATGCAACACGCCTGTTGGGCATGTTGCATCAACAAAAGGCCCAACAGACATTGATGTAACACGCCCATTAATGCACAGCTTGAGGTGCAAACGGGCAACACTCACGCTCTGGGGCCGCTTTGGCTGCGTTTTACCTGAAGTTTTTTAATGGGCTGGGTCGAGGAGCCTCTCTGTGATTTACGAGCCGATCTCTCAGCCGGACTTGTAGATCTCAGAGCAGATCTCTCAGCCGGACTTGCGGATCTCGGAGCAGATCTCTCAGCGTGACTTGCGGATTTCAGAGCCGATCTCTCAGCCGGACTTGTAGATCTCAGAGCAGATCTCTCAGCCGGACTTGTAGATCTCAGAGCAGATCTCTCAGTCTGACTTGTGGATCTCGGAGCCGGTCCCTCAGTCTGACTTGTGGATCTCGGAGCAGATCTCTCAGTCTGACCTGTGGATCTCGGAGCCGATCTATCAGTCTGACTTGTAGATCTCGGAGCCGATCTCTCAGTCTGACTCGTGGATCTCGGGGCCTATCTCTCAGTCTGACTTGTGGATCTCAGAGCCGATCTCTCACTCTGACTCGTAGATCTCGGAGCCGGCCGCCACCGGCATTTGCGGAGCAGGGCTGTCACCAGTCACGCCCTCGATGCGAGGTCCGGGTCAGTCTGACTGGTTGTCCTCCAAGCGCCCAATGCTGGTGACGCCCCTTCTTCAGAGGTCTGGGTCATACGTGGTGAAAATCCACTGTGGATATGCGACGCAATAGCCACGTGTCATGGCTGACGCTGAGTTATCTGCGGGTGATAGTCGACGTCCTGATCGGCATTGCGTTTAAGCTGTGTTGTGGTCGTGTGCGCCCATTATGACCTTACTATCAAATAGTAACGCAGGCAGGGGCCACATGGGGCACATGCCCCCCACCCCGTTAGGCTCCGAGGGGCCCCTCCGAACCTACGATAAGGGTCCGAAGGGCCGGCTAGGGGTCTTTCGGGGGCCCGGCCCGTATGGCCGGGCACTCAAATGCCAGCAGAAGGGCCTTGCGCGACGATCAGGGGCCTCTGAGTCAATAAGGACCCATATTGCGGTCAGACGCCACCAGTAGCGCACAGTTGGCCCCGTGGCGGAATGAGCTTAAGGGGTCATTTCCCAAGCAGGGACGAAGCCGGAGCCAACGATTTACATTGCTTGGGACGCCACAGCGCCTGACAGGGGTCATGTGTTTTCAAGGGGCCCCGAGTTGGCCAGGGGCAGTGTTCGAGGAGGCCCGAAGAGCCTGGGGGGCCCACCCGGTTTGTCGACCAAGGGCCTGGTTGGAGGGTTGTTGGAGGGTTTAAGGGCATAAAAGGCTGGTCGGAGTCTTGCTCAGGGGCCAGACCTGCGAAGACGGACCCTCAAATGACGGTCAGAGGGCCCTTTGCGCCGATCGAGGACCCCTGGGTCGATATGGGACTATATGCCGGTCAGGTACCACCGTACCACAAAGTGGGCTCGGTATCGGTATGGGCTTGAAGACTTGCTTTCCAATCAGATCTGAAGCCAGGGCCACCGATTTACGCTGGTCTTGGGCCTTGTATCTGTCAGGGGCCTACAGCGCCTAACAGAGAGCCCGTGCTCGCGAGAGCCCGAGCCGACCAAGGAAAGTATTTGATGAGGCCCGATGAGGAGCCGAGGCAAGCCACAGGAAACGATTGTCAAAGGTTCGGTTGGGGGGTCATAAGAGCCCCAAGGACAGGCTGTAGGTTACATAAAGAATCGAGGCCCTTACGGTTGGGACCTGAAATGTCAGCCAGATGTCCTCTTGCACCGTTTTAAGAACCTCTGAGACAATGCGGGCGTCTAACTCGGTTGGATACCCCGAGCACCGAACAGTCGGCTCCATGCCCGTCTGAGCCCTTGAGACCCATTTATCAAGCAGAAAGGAGGCCGGGGCCCGCAGTTTGCAATGTTCGGGATCCCTGACGCAACGAGGGGCTCCTGTGTCGGTTAGCATCTTTATTATTTATTCAAATGTCATGGCTGCTATGCTGGCGATGCATCCAGAGCTGTTTATCACTGGTGCACAATCTTGCCTGTTCGACTGGTCTGTCATTTGGCAAATAAGGCTTTCCAGCTTCCCTAGGTTATTCGTTCATTTCAACATTGTTTTTCCTGGGAGACAAAATTCCACGAGCCGGTAGGTATTTTGGGTTATTAAGGAAGCATTCGCCTCCACAGTGTAGATGCCAGATTACGGCGTGAATGCAGGCCGGTGAGAATTTTGAAAGTGGACCGATGGCTCACGGTGCGCCAGGTTTTTCATGTGCCTTCATTTCGCTGGCTGCTTTTCAAGAAATAAGATTTGTCACAGCATTTTAGGCGGAAACAAATTCGGAAGCTTGAAGCTGATAGAAACAATGTGACAAAATCCATAAAACTGGAGATTCTCTTTTAAGAATCAAGCCACATAATAAGGCCCTCCAGTCACATGTTCCTCATCTGGGCCCTGCTCCTGTCCGCCGTCGGTGGTCACTGCCCTGGCCTGGATGCCTCCCGCATGACTGACTGCGAGCTGATCGTGAGGCTTCTTTGTTGCACACTTTTGGATCAGCGTTACTTTTACATGGTGTATGAAACATGTGTTGGACACCTCATAGTATTTTCCCGAATTATCGTCCCTTATACCACGCCATCGCAGAAAAGTAGTCTCCGGGAAGCTGTCTGCCTTATGTATGGATTGGCCCAACGGGCACTTCATTGCCCATCATGCAACGTACGCGACTTGATCTGTTTTTGAGTGTAGGCGAGGGCGTAGCCAGAGCCTTGCCAGGAGGAAACACAGGGTTGACAAAAGCCCATCTTATGGCGCCCCCCCCCCCCCACAAAGAATCCCCGGATATGGCTTACTTGTTAACAAGTGACACGATTTTCTTCGTTGAAATTGCTATTTTCACCTTGTAACCAGAACAGAAACCAGGAGCTGCCGCGAGCTCGATTCTGTTTGCATTTTGAGGTCAATAAGCTGCAGAAATCAGACGTTGAACGACCGCATGGAAGAAATCACCGGCGCTTTTAATTTACAATGGTTAGCTGACTTGTTCTAAACCGATAGAATTCAGAAGCTTTGTCAATTTTTTATCTGGGTTCTATAGACATTGAGGACATCGCGAAAGTAGATTGTAGGTCGATATGCTTTATCCAAATTTGAAGATGAAAATTTGATTGTAAATCGAGTGGTCCACAATGTGTATTAACATGGCCAGGCCTTGTTTGCCTGAAAATGTTCACCATTCAGTCAGAATGGATTAGTGATACAATTCACGGAACGTGTTTTTTATCATTCTCGCTCGCGAATCTTAGCAACAAAAGCCTCCACACCAGGCGTTGCAGTCTTCATAGTCCGCGGAGCGTTAGCCCAGTAGCTAACATATAGCCGTGGCCCGCCGGTGGACGAAAATGATGACGCTTCTGAAATGATTACCTTCAAACACTTTAATCAACTAGTTGCACAAGTTGTGTGGCGTAATTTTGAGCATGCACACTCAAAAGTTGTACAAACACAAGCCTCGACTCGAGGCGTTGCAGTCTCCGTAGGCTGTGCAGCGTCGGTCTGGCAGCTAATATTAAGTTGTGGCGAACGGGTGAACGAAAATTACGATGTTTTGAGAAAGTATCTCTGGACACTTCATGACATCAGGTCTTGTATTTAGAAGGCAGGCTGATGGCATATTTCACGCGTGCAATTTTTAGATTGATGAAAAGAACGGATTGGCCCCTAGAGCACTGCGAAGTGGGACTGGAATCTGGTGGTTGAACTGGAAGGGTTAAGGTAAAATCTCTATTTTTCGTGTTTCCGCAGCTACTTATCTGTCCAGAAGACAGATTGACACGGCGCCCGCCGTCTAGTGGCACTTGCAGTGGCCGGAACTTATCCGTTTTACCGAAGTTCCAACCCAGACCATCCTTGTCCTTGCTCTCGAGGTTGCGGGCGGGCATGTTCAAGCCTTTTGATGTAATTTGCTTCAATAACACATTCTGAAAGAAATGAACATTCTCAGGGAAACATGGCATGACCCTGCTCGTTTTTTTAATTCATTTCGACTCGTGCTTTTCAACAAGAATGAGAGCCCCACTCTACTCAACAATAATGAGACCCCTTATTTCCTTCCGGGTAAGGGGCCTCTTGAGTAGCACACCAGGGGTACATTACCATTTCCGGTCCAGGG